TCTCAAGGAAATAGCGGCTACGGTCAAGAAAACCGAGATTAATGACTGTGGGGATCCGTTGCGCTGACCACGCAACACCCTCTACCCGCAAAAATTTGCATTAACTTCGCTGACAAGCGGCGGTCGCTCGGTCGGTATAGTTCACTAGCGGACTACAGGCCAAGGATTATTTTTTCATCCCATCTGTGTCTAGGTATCCCATGTGGTATCTTTGCCTCCGGATTTTCGATCAAAATTGTGTACATACTTTTCTTCTTCCAGTGCGTGCTACATGTATCACGCATCTTGTCTTGGTCATTATAACATTTTGCCATGAATACAAATTCTGCTGGGCTTCACTGCAGCGCATAAATGTGAACACACATAATGCAGGCGTGCAGCGAAAACTTTGTGTGGGTTAAGGAAAGGATGAGTTGTTTGCGACAAAGGAGCACCCCGTAAAGTCGCAGCGGTAGGACTCGACTAGTCACTCCCACTGACGCGACGAGCTCCTGCTCAATTTAACTCCAACATTTTACTACTTGCCGCTACTTGCCGGATGCCTGCGGTCCATAATTTCCCCACTCTTTACAAGTCAACCTGAGTGTTCTTAATCCATTCAACAGATGGCAGCACTGTACGACTTCGTAAGATGGTGGCAACATTAATTTCGCCCAAATTACTGCGGTGACGTTCGCGTAGTACGTAACGTCGGTAACTAGGTATCCTAGCTTACCAGATTCTGAGGGACGGCCAGTTCGCTTTTTTTTTTTTTCGCTTGGGGGTTGGGGGTGGAATCCAGCTGGGTCCGCTCGGCACGGCGGCCACTGATTGGCCTATTGTACCCGCCCCCGGGTGATCATTATGGAGAATTTGGTGTAATGAAGATTGGCAGGGGAAACCAAAGTACTCGGAGAAAACCCGCCCCAGCGCCACTTTCTCCACGACGAAGCTCACTTAAACAGACCCGGGATGAAGCCGGGCCGCCACGGTGGGAAGCCAGCGACTAACCGCTTGCGCTATGGTGTGGCCTGAGGGAAGCCCAGTTGCTGGCTACCGCATGTTTTTATGTACTCCTGTGCCTTTATAGTAACCATGTTGGGCGGGATCGCACTTTGTTTTCCATTGATAATATGATTTCCGGACTTCTTCAGTAATTAATGAGCCTAACACAGTATTCGGCGTTCTCAAGGGGGCAAGTAAGTTCAGTCTTCTTAGCTGTGTTGCTGTGTTATAACAGAGATAGAGACAGCACGTTCCTCTAGAACGCTGGTACCTATCTACCACCTACGCAGTGCACATCCAAGTGTTTCGAGAACTTTCCAGTTTCTTAAATGTACAGAAATTTAGGCTAAACAAAAAACACACAAGGTTAAAAGAAGATAGTAAAGCTATCCCTGTAACAGATCTTGAAGGCTCATAGCGTTCTGATATGTCAAGACTCCCACATTTTCTAAACAATCAGCTCACAGAGGGCGGAGGTGTTGCCGGCCTTAAATGCTGACCTCCCTTAGCCACAGCATGATTCCTAGTACTCATTTCTGTTAAGAGGCTGAGTCAACTCCTCGGCCAGAGTGCAGATGGATTAGGTCAACTGAAAACACCAATGGCCTCATCAGGAACCGAAGCCATGACCTTCCAGGCTGTAGCATAGTGCCCCAACCAACTAAAGACCTAAAGACATATCAAATAAAACGTTAAAATATGAAAATAAATTAATACAAACAGACTCCCAAAACTTAAAAAATCATGAACTATATGGATCAAGGAACCATATAAGAACTATCAAGAGATACCATACGAACAAGTATGGAACAGTAAGTGACCACATGTTCTGACCAGGTTCCTATGGTACTCGAACTTCGCGGGTCATCACACCTAGCAAAAGTACCTGAGGATAAGAATTGCAGTAATAAAACTCTCCACCACTAAAAAGTTCAGGACAGCATCCTTTCAGTGCCTGACGCTTAGTGGTTCATACTGAGCACATAAACAGTTCTTTGCAACTGCATGTCTATGGTAGTCTGCCAAGTTAATTGCAATCAACTGCAAATGGCTATGCAATAACAAACATTTTTTGCAATATATGTATTTTATTTATTGTCAGAAAAAAAGTTCTGGTGGGTTTCATTGTGCACATGAAAACAAAGTTACTCGTAATGTAAACACGGAATAATTATTAAACCTACAGAATGGTGTACATACATGACAAAATTGGCACCTTCCGATTCGGCAAAACTAAAGTTCATCACTCACATCTTGAATATATATATTTTGCCATATTTACTCACACTTTTATCTCCCAACTTTTGCATTCTTAAACAGACAGCTAGTTTTGTTTTGTCAATAATTTATATTCTCCTCATGCACGCTCTAAGCATGGAAATGGAGCAAAGCTGATCATATAATCAACATTTCAAATGGTCAACTTCTTTGCAACATTACTCATTAACAAACTCCTTGACCTACAACACCATCAGGATTGAACACTTTCAACAATGAAGTTGAAATAAAAATGTATCAGAATTTGTTTTATCTCTCAGAAAATACACTGCACTTCTGTTACAAGATAAGTGGTTAACATTTTGGTGAACAATCACTGTTTATTGTGAGAACAAAGTGAAATATGAAACTACACTGTGCGGGCAAAATGCACAGCTATTTAATGTTAAGTAGGTGGTATGTACAGTTACCATTACACTTCAGACAGTTAAACAGAAATTTGTTTTATAAAATTCTACAGGTGACTCGTTAAGTTCATTTGTTTCATTCTTTTCCTCATGAGTAAAGTTGTTTCTAAAGGCCGTGTAAAATGAAAATATTGTGCATATATCGAAGTGCATACCTTCTGTATGTGCGTGGGAGTAAATGAATAATGAAACTTAAATTAAAATACACTTGGGGAACTGATGGGAGAAATCATGCAAGTAATTATGGAACAGGAACAAACAGATTATGAGGAATGCTATTGCTAAAGGTAACAAACGAATAATGGTGTTAAAACTGGATATATAAATATAAGATAAAATACTGAATTACAAACCTGTACTCTGGTGGTATATATCTACATTTTCATGCCTTATATAAGAAGTTTATGTAAAATGATACTCCCCTTGCCAAATCATCTTCGGGTTACTGGCACTTTGACCGATCAAATCTGAATCAGTAACATGCTGCAAAGGCAGGCCCTCAGCTTCACGGACTTGGTTCAACTCCTGCAGTGACTGAGGTACACAGAAATTCTATGCAAAATGAACATGCTTTTCAGCATCTCAGTGAGTGAGACCTGATTTGACCTGAAAGGTTTGTGCACCAGAACCTGTGTAGGCATGAGGTCATAATATAAGGCACTTCAATCTTGACATGACACTGTCCCTTTGCATCACTTAACGTGCTAATACAGTGTATGCAAGTACACTGTATTAGCACGTTAAGTCTCACAGCAGAGCTCTGCAAGGGATACTTAAACTGCCACGTCAAATAACATCACATTTAGAGACACTTACATACAACTGCTCTGAAACTAACTCTTTACATGTTTCCTGCACATCCCTTTAGCACAAAATAGTGAAACACTGTATACAGGTAGAACCTAACACTGAAACAGTTAAACCATACAATTCAACTCAGTACATTTCTATTCTGGTAATAAACTGTAAATTATATAAACTGTATCATAAATTTAAGAGAAAAAAACAACACAATAAACAGTACACAGCAAAATCAAAAGTTCCTTTAACAACAATCAATATTAGCTTTATACATGTTAAAAAAAACACCAAGTATGAGCAGTACTTCTACCAAATATTACTGAGTAATCTCAAGCCAGGATATGAATTGCATAATTTATACAAATCAAGACAACTCTTCATTACTCTCCTACAGCATACATAGTAATACACTCATGTCATCTATGGCCTGGCCTACAGAACTCACGTATGGTGAGCAGCACTGTGCCTTGTACAGTAAAAGGACAGGGAAAGGATACCACCACTCAGGGATCCCGGCAATGACCAACTGATCACACACATACTTATGCATTTACACATTAAAAAAAGGACAGGAGATTTCCAGGTGAAAATTGTGAACTCATTAATCTCCACTGATCCAATTAGAAAATATTTCTTTCTATTACTTTCTGCCCATGTGTCTTCAGGTGTTTTACTCTCAGGGGGGGGAGTTCCCTCTCAGAAATATTCAGAAGTTTCATGTCTAGATTGAGGTTACAAGGAAATAAATTAAATCTCCCTCTACTGCAGCCTTAGAATGATGCATGGATAATGCAGATAACAGCACTTAAGGCTCCCATTTTCTGCCTTCTGTTGGAATCCTCTTAGCCAGCTCAAATGTTTGTCATTAGTGAATGTTCCTGTAAGCAGACCAGCTAGGAAACTGGGTATGGAAGTATAACAATCAGCCTAAGTACAGTCAAGAAGGGGGGCAGATCTGAAAATTTGGAAACCACTGCAATACAACAACACAGATGCCACGTCACCTCCACAGTTCCACTTTGCAACATATCCATTAATTCTTCATTTATATATTAACATACTACATAATGTTTCAGACACAAATAATATAGAAGTGTCTTGCATTTAAATATATGTACAACGAATTATTATTATTATATAAAATGCTTGAAGTGATTTGGTGTAGACTTCAATGTCATCCATGTTGGAAAGCTATATTCTTACAGAGCTAGTATGTTACAACAAACATGAATGTTATTTTGGAAGCTTGACACATTCTGCAGTCCTAGCTTGTAGTCATGAAAGCGTGTGATGAACATTATTATTTTGGACTCTGCATCAGGGGTAGTCCAGGAGAGGTTTAAAGATCCACAGAGCAGTTAGCAAGACTGGCTCCTGTAACATCCTATTGCTCTGCAGCACCATATGGTCCTGCAGTCCTCCTCACTCATACGCCTATCAAAGTATCTGAATGAAATAAGGATGCACAAGTGAGGATTGCAGTCATCTGGCTCAGGATAGGGGCCAATGGTGGGCTGTTGTGGATATGGTAACGAACCCTCACGTTTCACATAATGTTGGGAATTTTTTGAGTAGATGAGCAACCATTAGCTTCTAACGAAACCGTTAGTTCTATGCAATTTGTAACAGAGACAAAAATGACTTCATTCATAAAGGTGAAGACTTCTGCACACAGGAACATGTACTCATGATGCTTTGATGATTTGTAAAAGCATATAATTGAAAATGCAAGGCAGGGTTGGTTTCAGAGGACAGATATAACTGCTGCAGCAACAGTATCAATATTCTATAACTGATAGTGTGGCCACAATTTGGAGTTGTTTTAATCACTGAACATTCTGTACACCCCCCCCCCCCCAGAATTAGCAACCCAGACTTCTAACTTCAATGATACTAGAAATGTATTCTGTCAAAGTCACAGTCCAGGTTTTGTAACATGCGTAATGTTCGCGTAACAGAAACTACACTGAACAGTACCATATTCCAGGATGTGACACCATGTAGTAGAGCAGAAATTCACTGCTGCCAGCTTCTTGCTGGTTAGTTGCTTAAATTACTCATCAACCCTGTAGAAGGCAGCACTGTTCCTCCGAAACATCAATGAACTTCTACCGCACTACATGGTGAAACATCTCGGATGCCAGCATGCTTCATAATCCCTGCTGTATGGATTTCAAATCCACTACAGAAAAGGCACTGTTCATCACATTTTAATATAAAAATATTTTAACTACATTTATTTAACAATAAACTAATATTACAACAGATAACATGCTGTCATACAACTTTTCATTTCAAGCAAAACTTGTACTTCACTTGATATAAACACAGACACCCACCGGGTCAAAAAGTTTAAGCTCCTTATAAAAATTACTCAGGGCAATATACAGGTATATATAAATATTTACATAACTATACTGCCTCTTCCTTTGGCTTACAGTCCCATTGTAAGGCACAGGAGGAACATATGGCACATACTGAATTCTTTCTTTGGCATACATGCTTGACTACTATAAAATATATGTATAAAACAATAATATCAAATTTCATCACCACAGAAAAAGAAATACTGCTTGACATTACACAGTGGAGGATAACATAACATTCATAAATCCCACTGTAGAGGGGCACTAAACTAGTACTGAATATGGTATAACCCAGATGTTGGCCCCCAAGTAAATTAATACAATAAACAGAACAGATCTTTTAAGAGAACTTTTCGGTTTAACTCGAAACATGCTAATAATACAATAAGTCCATAGCTAGAATATGTATAAATTTGTAGCTGCAACATTTAAAATTAATATAGTTCTTTTAACAAACAAAACAATTCTTTAGTAAGCATCCCTCCTGGTTACTTTGTTTTTTTTTTTTTTAATAAGACTTCCCTCTTTCAAGAGTATATCTAGTTTCAAAAGGTGATGCTAAAATATAATGAATATAGCCAAATCAGCTGAAACACTATTTAAATAATGAAAAAAAAGTTTTACCACAATGGCATGAAGCCGCTTATTAATATAAGTTTTTTGTCCAGTATCTGTATATTCACAGAAATTGCAAGTACAATTCCCTCCTAATTTTCAAACTCCTCTCACAAAATGATACCAACTCCCATGGCCATGTGACTATGGGCAAGCTGTACTCCTGTAGGCAGCAGCAGCCTATATTTAGCACATCTTAAAATATAACCAGTAGCGTTCTGCAGCAAATGTTCACATTAAGCTTCTATTAAGTGGCAAATCGCTTTGTGCGTATGTGCAGCAGCTGAGAACTGATTACAAGGGCATGGAACCAGGGCTGAAAGCTGCCTGCAGTATACAATGAAACAAACAATAATATGAAGGACATACCTACCTGCGACTACATACTGATATTCCATATGGAACATTTTGAGAGGGAGGGAGGAATAAGCAATATAAATGCAGAAGCAGAGATAAAAAATTTATACAAAGCAATTAGTGCATTCTAGTCAACCTCCAGGTGAGAAGCACTCAAAAACCACTAAATAAAATTATTAATAATTAGGGGGTGTCAATATATCCCTTCTTTCATTATGAATAGTTTCCATCTGAAAGAGCATATCTTCTGAGTTTTAATGCCGTGTAGTTCAGAATGAGCTTCACATTTCAGACGAACCTATCAGCTCCATCTTCAGGGTCAAAACGTAAGTCAAGCATGAAACCAGAAGAAGCATGCAGCAGGCTGAGTATGCTGCCCGCTCTCTCAGGCTTCCTGCTTCCCTTACATTGTCCCTGAAGATGGAGGCAACATGCTCCTCTAAGACATCACACCTCTCCAAACTACAAAGAATTACAACCCAGAAAGTCACACTCTGTCATCATTGTAAAAGCCTCGAACCCAATAGAGTTTCCATCTTCTTCCACAATTAACTTCATGCATAAGTAACTATGTGCCCTATCAAAAAGAAAACGTTAAGCCCTTTTGCTGGTTGAACATTGTGCCGTTAATAATATTCTCAGGTTTACAAATGCTCCAAATGCCTGAAAGGACAGGAATCCTGACACAAATTTTGTGGAACTGCTGACATTGGTTACTTTTGTAGGCCATTGCTGCTACAGAGCTTTTCCTTACTAATAACATTGTGAAAGACTGAAGGAAATGTGGGAAGCATTCTCAGACCACAGGAGTTACCAGCTTCATGCTTCCCCACCTATATCCTGCTAATGTCCAAAACATAGTTCCCAAAGTGATCTTATAAACATGACTTGTCATCTTACTGTTACATGAATTTTGATTAGACATATAATAATTACTTATTACATTAACTGTTCACATTGCAGAGCTACATTACTTTCAGTTTCATTGTGAACTACAATGGCTTAAAGATTCCAGAGTCTCTTGGCACTGATTACTAACTAACCCCTTAGTACTGCCAGTAAAATTCAAAATACTCTGAAATGGTATTCTGTTAAGCCTGCTATTGTTCCATGAACTGTGAATTATCGTGGCAATTCGAGCAGAACGGTGGAATGGCTCAAGTTGTATCCAATATAGGACAAAAGAATGGGCTGCACAATTTTATTGATGGAAACACCACAGTTGCAGCAGGCAAAGAGATGCAAACCTCAACCTGAATTTTACTAGACAAAATTAGCCCAACTTCTTGGCAGCATTCATGTTTTCTGTCAGCCAGTGCTGTTTGCCAACTAGAATATCTGGTTTTCTCACCCATTCCTGCTGTTTTCCTCAAAAATAATATATGGGGTGGGCCTTGTCTTGAACACAGGACTATTCACAAAAGTCTAGTCCACAACTCACTGTAATCTGTTACATACAGAGGACATGTGCTGTCCTTGTAGGCATGATGATCAAGTAGTGAAGATTGATGACTGCGTTAGACTTGCACACGCCGACAATAGTACCCCAGGATTTTACACTTCTCGCATAAATGCTGAGGATGGACTTTGGACTGATCAGACACATCAAGCCCACCTGGTTTCTCCAAAGGACGCTGTAAATGAGAGCATAAAGGAGCATGAGTCTGTCATCTGAGGAAACCACTAAAAGCATTTTTATTTTCCACCCAGTTTAACGGTGCAGCTCTGATAATGTAACCTCCAATGTTTCAGGGTTCTGGTATCTGGAGTCACCTGGGCTGGGGACAGTTAATCCCTGTATCACTTGTTCCTAATTAGAGATATTTCTGTAGTTTTTCTAACGTGCTGTACTGGGTTTTATATTAGACCACAGGTGCCAGTGGGGAGGAACATGCCAGGCATCTGCCCCTTCCCCTGAACCTTTTTAGTAAATTCAAAATTGGAAAGAAAAAAAAAGAAATTTACCAAATATTAATACTTTTTAAAAGCTTGTTCTTCTATCCTGAATACTTGTGAGCAAGGAGTAAAAAAAAGTCTCAAATGGCTTAAACATACACATGTAAGAACATTCTCCGGCTGTCGCTACTTCAGGAAAAATCATACTACATATGTAGTTTTCTTTTATTGCTAGTGGGGTGGGACTAAGTCCCTTCTACTGCGGCCACTTCTGGCCTATTGTACCAGCCCCAGATGATAGGTGGGGGTGATTGTGGAGGAATTGGTGGAATGAAGATTGGCAGGGGAAACCGAAGTACTCGGAAAAAACCTGTCCCAGCGCCACTTTGTCCACCACAAATCCCACTTGACCAGACCCGGGATCGAACCCGGGCCGCCGCGATGGGAAGCCAGCACCTAACCGCTTGAGCTATGGCGCGGCCTTAAAAATCCAATGACCTCATCGGGACTGGAACCCACGACCTTCCGACTTGTAGCATAGTGCCTCAACTACGCTACCGTGTGCCCCTACATATGTAGTTAAAAGTTCCCATTGCTTAACCTGTTAATAAAGTAAAACTTTACTTAGCCCTCTAACTTCACTGAAATCAGGACACGAAGTGCTGATATGCATGAAAGTATACAATGAAGCATGGAGCTGTGACTACATGAAATTCATCCTTGTCAGTATATCTCACTACCAAATTTGTCACATTATCAAGCCAACAATACAGATAAGTTCACATGAATAATCTTGACCAACAGTTTTAAATAAACAAGCTTCAGCTGTAGTTGAAATGGAACTATTTTACTGACAGGGGAAATTTGGTATCATGTTGGTTGGCCTGCCACGTATAAGATGGCGCGGTATAAATGTTTAATTGTGCCGGTGCCAAAATAGCGAAAATATTTGTGAAGAATCTCACTCTTCTAAACAGGAACTTCAAGGTTGTCATTAGAGCTATATTCTGATTTGCAATAACAAAGCTGGGAAACACTTTCGCGTTTTGAAGGCAAACTTTTACTGCTGATCGATCACAGAGTGGCCTAATGTTGTGAATTACGTACAATTAAGTTTATTTCAGTCCAATGCTCCCACCACTTTAGCACTATTGTAAACATGTTAGTGTGACGGACCAGAATGAAACAAATTAAATTGTGAATTAGTTACGACTGTTACGAACTCCCAATAAATACGCCGGTGTGCAGTCATTCTGAAAGTCAAATAATCATCATCAAGTGATGCGTGCATACTTCGAGACTGTCAAGGTTGGGTTCGGCCGGGGACTGCTCGGCGTACCAACAGAAACAGACTAACTGCGCCAAAATCGTATTCGAACATCAGGTAATGCGAAAATGTTTACATATTTGATTCATTCCGGTCCGTCACACTAACAATATTACGAATGATAAAACAATTCCGTCCAGTGTGACTATTGAAGCTTTTACTACTTCACTTCTTAGCACCCTTACATGTTTCGGTCCCTACAGACCATCATCAGAGGGAACATCAATACTTTTAGAAACTACTATTACAGTGGGTGTTTTGATTTTTAAAATTCATAAACTATACAATATTTGTAACATACACTTTATACAAAATCCAAATTTCTCACAACTACAGCAACTGCCCTTGATGCATTGAAGTTTTTTTTTTAACTTTTTTGTTATTTAAGTTAAAATTCTTTAACCGAACTGGTTCGTGTCCATTGCCCTTTCGTTTTTCTTGAAGGGGCCGAACTTGTGCCGCCCGCCTGTCTTGGGAAAGTGGTTCTTGTTGTCGTCCTATGTTTGTTCGTGGCGTGCTGTGTTGTTTTTACACAGCAACATGTGTTTAAAACACAGGAGCGCACAAAATGCGTCCGTTGTAACGAACGTCGTGACGTCCGTTGTACAAATAAACGAGAGGCGAATGCTATGCTTTCTTCTGGCTCCATTGCAGACAAAAAACTACGCACCGCATTCTGCAACCGTGTGGTGTCCTCAGCAACGTCAGTCATATAGTACGTTCGTTACAACGGACGTAGTTCGTGCGCTCGTGTGCCCCAGCCTTACAGCAAATAAGCAAAGTAGATTCTAAAAGGTCCTCACGATGGTGTGTAACACACAGAATTACTGGGTTTTCGGACTTTGTCTATCGTCCAATATTCTGAAAAAGAGAACACGACTCGGAAACTGGGTCTGTTTCCGTCCTCAGGTGAGGTGGGAGACACTCTGTTGAGTCCCTTAAAACTGGATTGATCCAGTGATTGAGGTTAGCTCTTTCTTTGGGACCCAACAGAGTAGATGTCTCCCCCCTCACCTCAGGACGGGAACAGATCAAGTTTCCGAAACGTCGTGTGGTCTAGTTTTTGGAATACCAGACTACAGACGAAGTCCAAAAGCCCAGTACCGTATTTACGCATGAATAGGCCGCACATTTTTTGCCAAAAATTCAAGAGGAAAACTGGGGTGCGGCTTATATTCGAAATATTCGAAATCACACTTCATTTAAAAAAAAATTATATTCATAATTAGTAATACAGGGTGTTCTACTCCTGAAATAATATTCCAAGAAAATTATTTTTTCTATGATTTCTGTCTGAAAATTGTGCTGCGGCCTATACACGCGTAAATACGGTAATTCCTAAGCAAAATTATGGCTTACCTGTTTGTGCGGATACACATTGATGTGGCACTTGATGCATTCTTGCCCCATGTTGGCCCAGCTGTTCCCAGACATCCATTTCCTCTTGCACTTAGGACACTTATACTCCCCAAAACAACGCTTCTTACCCTGGTAGGGGGTTAAACCCTCACCTTTGGGCCGAGCCTGCAACCAAATTGTCCTCATCAAGATAAGTCTGCTCCTGTAAGCAACCACCACGTCATCAAGGCGTGGGGAATTGGAAAGTGACTCACATGAGTGGTCAGCTTCACGCTCCTGCCAATTTAGCCCCAGTGCCCAATGGGCTCTACAACCGGTCTGGACAAAATTGTGGGAAAAATATAAATCCTTGCCGTTACTATTAGTATTATTATTATTAGTAGTAGTAGTAGTAGTAGTAGATCATTATCAATTATACAACTCCGTGGAGCTGAATCCATTAGTAGCCGCTCAACCACTCAAGAAATTTCAAGCATTTTATGGAACCCAAAGTTCGTTATTGTGTTTACAAGAGCCCGCCCCTGGTTTCTATCCTGAACCAGATGAATCCAGTCCAACCCCCTCCCCCACCCCCAATCCTACGTCCCAAAGTTCCATTTTAAACCATTTGTCATTGTTCACGTCGCTCCAAAGAGCCCATTCAAGTCCGAAGCCCTATATAACATTTCTTAACATGCTGGCTCCTTAGGGTGTGTTGTTAGCCCCATGTCCAATACCCATGAAGGAGAGTCACCCCTTGTCGGCTGTCCGTGACTGCTTATTCAGTACATTCGCAGCTACCCCACATACGTGGCAGCCAGTCTATCTGCAACCTGAGGGCGCACCATGCAGTGCTGATAAGAAACACACTTAAAATAATTACATTGTTATTATTATTTGATTATATATATATATTGATAGAGAAAAATGCATAATGAGGGGCTTCGTAACTTGTGCCCTTCGCCAAGTGTATTTAGAATGATCAAGTCAAGGAAGATGAGAGGGGGCAAGGCATGTAGCACGAATGGCGAAGAGGAGGAATGCACATAAGATTTCGTGGGAAAACCAGAAGGAAATAAACCACTAGGAAGACCAAGACGTAGGTGGGTGGATACTATTAAAATGGGTCTTAGATACGATGGGCCGGCACGGACTGGATTGATCTGGCTCAGGATAGACACTAGTGAAGTGTCCTTCTGAACAGAGTAATGAGGTTCGGGTTCTGTGAAATGTTTGAAAATTCCTGAGTAGCTGCATAACCGGCAGCTTCTCAAAAAGGGCTCATCTCCATGGAGTTATACCGACGACTTCACCCTGAGGAAAATGTTTCGGCGCTCAATGGCATACGCCGGGTGGGCGTCCAGACTAGCTCTGGGTTTCCCCGAGGGTAAAGTGACAGGGGCGTGAAATTGGCGGTTCACCTTCATCTAGTGCCGGGGGTAAGAACTGTGGAGCTATGCCTCCATTCTACCTACGTCTTCATGGCGTGGTGGTTAATTCATTAATTAAAGCCCTGGAATAATCTTAATTGGCCAGGGTGGCGTAGTCTGTAAGCGACTGGCTACGGGCTGAAAAACCGAGGGGTCGGCGTTCGAGTCCTGGTAGGCTTAAGAATTTTCACTTCTCCATCTCGTCCAGACAGGCTCTGGCGTACGGGGGGCTCTTTCCGGAGGCAAAAGACCGCGGGGCGTGAAGCTGACCATTCACCTTCAAACAGTGTCGAAGTCAAGAAAACGTGGGTCCATACATCCACTCCCCCATACGTCTTCCTGGCGCAGTGCCTAATTAGTTAAGCACAGGGACAAGTCTACCTTACTTCTTCCCCCCCTTGGCACTACAGCCCCAGTGGGCCTAGGCCTACCTCCATGAACTTCTCCGTTCACTTCAATTTTTCTAGATCTTACACATTCGGTAGGACTCCTTGGGCGGGTGATCAGCTCGTCGCAAGGCCTCTACCTGTACACAAACACAGAAAAACGCGCACACACAAACTGAACATCCATGCCCTGAGTAGGATTCGAACCCACGATCCCGGTTTCCAAGCGAGCGAAGACGGTACATGCCTGAGACCGCTCGGCTACCGTGACCGGCCTACCTTACTTCTACCGGGAATAATTTCACTTTACTTAACTGGCGGTTTAATAGCGCCGTTCATAAGATTACCTCTGTTTTCACGTTGTGTGTAAGCCGACGGATGTCGAAGACTTGTAAGCTCTTGACCTGCTATAAAAGGCAGCCCCCACTACCTATGTAGCAGTTTCTAAAATAACCAATAAACAGTTCGCTGCCTGCTGGCAGGTCTTGCTTGGGGGACAGGCATAGCACGGCCAATGGGTTCATCAGACAACCGGAGGAACTAATGATAGCTTGTACGTAAGTGCAAAGTATCCCTGTGCTTAATCCTGCACCAGCTATTAAGACCACGCATACTTACTGACCTCGTACTAAGCCGAGGTGTAGACTTTTTGGGAAATGTGGCAAAATTAAAATATTTTCAATAAAACAAAATTTTATTTACACGGAAATTATGAACAGATAAATTCGGGGAATTCCAGCTGTCACTGGTTTCTGAATCTCTTGTCTTCTCGCCTCCTAACGATTAAAATATCCCAAAACGTAACTTTTCATGTAGTTTTGTATTGATGTGAAACTTGGTCTCACACATCAAGGAAATAATGTAAACTGGGGATGTACGAGGAAACGGTCCTGAGGGAAATATTAAGGTTAAAGAAATTAAATAAGGAGCTTCATGAGCTGTGCTCCTCACCAAATATGAGGATGAAATCATGACGGACGAGATGTGCAAGATATGTAGCACGCATGGGCAGGAGTGCATACAGGATTCCAGTAGGAAAGCCTTAAAAGGAAGGAGACCACTAAGAAAGGCTTCGTTTATGAAAGGATAATATTAAAATGAGCGTAAAAAAAATGGACGTGGTGTGGACTGCATTCAGCTGGCTTAGCATCGGGGCCATAAAGGATTCCAGTAGGAAAGCCTTAAAAGGAAGGAGACCACTAAGAAAGGCTTCGTTTATGAAAGGATAATATTAAAATGAGCGTAAAAAAAATGGACGTGGTGTGGACTGCATTCAGCTGGCTTAGCATCGGGGCCATTGGTTGGCTCATGTAAACAAGGTAATGGACCTTCGGGTTTAATAAAATGGTATGAATTTAGTCGTACTCGGAAAGACGGCCCTATTTGCAAACACACAGGCTAAGTGGTATGCACGGCCGCGTTTGTTGTCCTGCATAGATAAATGGCCTTACGATGGGCCGATCCGCCGTCCACATTCACTTTTTCTAAAGGTATTTCTTCTTGATCACGGTTTCAGGGCCCCTAAATCGCGAACAAGACGCTCATCAGATTTTGAAATGATGCTATGGCAACTGCCTGTTGCTCACATCGTGCCTTCTCGAAACTGCCCGGATACGTACAGTGCGTTCACTCTAAGAGGCGACCCCTAATAAATCTCACATTTGTCGGTGAGACGGAACCTGGGGCAGTAAACACCGCGGTGGAGGTAACTACGCTCCAGATGATTTTGAATTCTTTCCCTCTGCCTGTAAACACATGTCAACACGAAAAGTGGGGGGGGGCGGTACCGTAGTTGGTTGAGGCACTATGCTACCAGACGGAAGGTCGCAAAATCAAATCCCGATGAAGTCACTGGATTTTTTTCAATTTACCTAATACTTCCAGCCGCACTATGGCCCTGGGGTAGACTGAGTCTCTAACAAAAATGAGTAGCAGGAATATTCTTAAAATGTTCTTGGGGGTAAAGGGCGGCTGGCGCGTAATGCTGAAAACCTTACCGCCATCTATGAGCCGATTGTCTAGAAAATGTGGGAACCTCATCTCACAACCCTATGAACCTCCACGGCCTGTTACAGGGATAGCTTTACTTTTTACTTTTTTTTTTTACTTACAATACGAAAAGTACGCAAGTGTTGCCAACTTTCGTTTCCACTGAGAAAATTACTGCGAGATTTATAAGAATAAATTGGGCGCCTGCTCCGAGTGAATCACCCTGCTCATCTTCACTCCACCATCAGAAAGTTAGTAGATTCTATTTTCAACACACGACGGGGAGCAGGTATCGTCACACTGGATTCCTCTTCCATGTACATCTACGCTTAAAGATACGCAGTTCCAACGGCGTGCGTATACAATCTTCAAATCTTAAAAAAATAACTGAATTCGCTTAGTGGGGGGATGCAGTCCGGTTGTGTCCACTCGTCACGGCGGCCACTGATTGGCCTATTGTACCTGCCCCGGGTGATTATGATGATGGAGAATTTGGTGGAATGAAGATTGGCAGGGGAAACCAAAGTACTCGTGGAAAACCCGCCCCAGCGCCACTTTGTCCATCACAAATCCCGCTTAACCAGACCGCGCGATCGAACCCGGGCCGCCGCGATAGGAAGCCAGTGACTAACCGCTTGAGCTATGGCGCGGCCTCATCTTCAGATCCTGGTATGGACACATGTATGCTTAACTAGTCAACGTAATGTTGCATCTGGAAAGCTGTTCAGTATCTCTAATACCTCTAATACCATCGTAATGATGCTGCGTAGGATCATAGTATTTTTTTTTTATTGCTAGTGGGGACTAAGTCCCTTGTACTGCGGCCACTTCTGGCCTATTGTACCAGTAGGATTATAGTAACACATTGCGCCGGTAGAGCTCCGAACACATTGATCGCAGGTAGTACTTATTCCGCCAGTAAGGGGCTGTGCCAACAATAGTCTCTCTTCTTGGATATAACGCCGTGTACTCCGTTGAAAGGAAACCGAAATTTCGGCGGAACACGTCGCCTCCCTCTTCAAGGCCATATATTCCAAATGATGTAACTCTTTCTACCCACCGCTGTGAGCACCACAAATCCAATGTAGTCTGTCATTTTTACGGAAAAGGCCTACTCAACAGAAGCTTCTTCAAATTTGTACTTTGAAGCCGGAAGGTCGCGGGTTCGATTCCCGATTGGATAATTTTTTTTTTCTATTTACATATTCCTTCCAGCCGCACTATGGCCCTGGGGTCGACTCAGTCTCTAACAGAAATGAGTACCAGGAATCTTCGCGGAGGGTAAAGGACAACCGGCGAGTAAGGCCATCTGTCTAGAGAAAATGTGGGAGCCTCGAAGTCTCACAACTCAATGAGCTCTACTGGCTTCCCATGGATACAC